TCCAGGTTTAGTTCCTGGTTCTAGTTGGAATCCAGGTTTAGTTCCTGGTTCTAGTTGGAATCCAGGTTTAGTTCCTGGTTCCTCAGTTAAAAAGCAGCTTGAGGTTCTGGTGTGTTCCTGTGAGACAAACACTTGATTTTCAGGTTCTAGTTGGTGGATTTTGTTTCCTTTGGGCAGAACAAGGTTGTTTCCTGCTGTTTACAATGTTGGTGCAAAGATAAACAAACTAAATTCACATTTATTGTCTCGACTTGAGATCGACGTCAGTGGATAAACATATTTCTAACTATTCCTTTAAAGTTGCTCATTACCTGATTATTTCACCTTAATCTCCATGAAGTTATGAAAAGTTTACGTTTATTAACTCCTCGTTTTAATATTAGTTGCTTAGTTATTTGTGTTTTTCAAACAAAATAAATATTAAAACAGCAAAATGTCACTGAAACTCACTTCTGAGAAGTGGAAATGGTATTTCACAATAAGAGCATCAGATGTGTTGCAGGTCTCTTAAGTTGGTGCTTTTATAATCTTCAGACAGAATATTTTAGTTTTTCTATTTCAAACATCTGATCGGATTAAAACATCTTCAGTGCAGCAGACGACTTCATTCACCCAAAGAAAAGCAGCTATTTACTGTGTTGTGACAAAGGAAAGAAAGACCCCCCCGTGTGTGTGTGTGTGTGTGTGTGTGTGTCGGGGGGGGGGGGCAAAGGGCGGCCTATTTCAGGGGGGGGATGTCACAAGGGGGGGGGGGGGTGTCAAAGCTTTGAGACAGTTATAATGTGTCACCTGCTGCAATAAAAGAGGAGAAGAAGAAGAGAAGCAGGAAGACACCAGGATGAAGAACAGAGTAGAAACATCAACAGGTTAAAAGGAGTCGGTTGTTTTTGTCTCGTTTCAACACATTCAAGTCGTCAAAAACAAACCTCGTGTTCAGATTCAAACCAGCAGAGAAAGATTTGATTAAAGTGTCCTGATACCTCTTATAGTTCCACTAAAACACATCAATGAGCCTCACTGTTGTTCCTTCATCATCATCATCATCATCATCATCATCATCACACTGTAGTTTATTCTGACTCAATCACACATACTAATACTCACTATACACCAAACGTGGATTCATCCGCCGCTGAAAATAGTCTCCAAAAAAATCCAAAATGATTTTATATCAGGCGTGATTTTATATCAGGCGTGATTTGTGATTTTATATCAGCAGTGATT